TTGTTTATACCAGTATCACAATCAACTTTTCACAGCGTAAGACCACATAACATGTACTTAATAAACAGAACATGTACCAAATAAACATGACTAGTAATTTTATAATTTATTTTAGAAATTAATATCCTATCTCCAAGAATAAAAAAGTTATTGTCAGATTAAAATAGGACCAAATAAAATGATAACACGCACTCTACTTAACGTCCTATTTTTGTTTTATGGATTTTTGGAGTTTCTCATTTATGAGTAGAGATACAAAGATGCGGTTTCCACATCACAGCTGCTTTCTTATGATTTTAAAATGTTGTATTTTTGGATCTCCTTCGTATCTCGGTTATCATATATAACTTATCGAGTAGTTAAAAAGTTGTTGTTTAATAACGTAAATCCCCCCGTAAATATTTTGATGAAGAAATAAATGGGCGTAGTAAAAATTAGTAAACTAGTTCTTTCAGTAAATGTTCAGATACATGAATTAATAATAGCTCAAGTATAAGTTCAACTCATAGGCTTCAGACCTTCCCAGTGGTCTCCCTTCACTGGGAGCTGTCATTTTCGAAATATTGTTCAAAACTCAAACTTGTTTTTTTTAAGAGATACCCTATTATCACCTGTCTTATTCACATAAAACAACAGGTATTTTATTTAATCAGATAATTATGCTTTTCATCGTGCTATCTTAATAAACTGCACTGAAAATGAACTTGTGGGACTTTTAAATAACACGGCTGTCAATCAGAGTTACAGAAATTGTTGATGCACTTGTGCAATAATTTTACACACAAAAACTAGCGTGGAATAATCAATAACCAAAATTTGACGTCGAATAAATTATTCGAATGTGTTGGATTACCTAATTCAAACAAGCGGCATATATCAAAAAGTTAAATAATGCATTTTTTATCTTATTTATAAAAATTAAAATAGTATATAGAGTACCTAATTATATTTTTAGAAAACCCATAGCAAGGCAAATCAAATGAAAAAATAATAAAATACTAAATAGTGAAAACCTCATCTTTGTACCGCTACTCATAAAAAAATGAGAAACCCTGTAAAACACACGAAAATGGGACACCCTGTACATAACTATAAATATCAAAATGAAAAGTACTTAAATGTTTTTCTCCTCTATACATTTAAAACTTCGTTTGATTTAACTAATTTTTAGATTGGTTAATCATTTAATTGATTTAACTAATTTTTAGATTCGACAAATTTTTAATTTGTTTCTTTGTAAAAATGAGTTTGTTATCTATTAAAATATGTTTAATATCAGTATTTTTATTTCAAGTTAACCTGTATCATATTTTCAAAAAAAGCCCAAAGATTAATGCCAAATTCAATATAATGTTCTAACTAAATATAGATCTCTTCTAAAATAGAGTTATTGGCAACGTCGCGTCTCGTTCACCAGGGTTTCCGCACGAAATATTAAAGTTTACGTGTGCATTGATGTCTTTTGGCCGGTTCCAGCCGTCCCATTTACGTGGGTTATCTATTCATAGTAGAATTATCTTTGCTACCGGTTTCGGAGCCCTACTTCATCATCAGGTGAGCTTGGGAGATCCACAAAATGACAACCACAGCGCAGAGATAGTTAATTCCGACTTGTCGGAAAGTATCGGTTAGATATTAAGTCCCGAACGGGAGATAGCGGCCTGCGTGCAATGGTCGTACTTTCGTACCACCGAGGCGCAACTATCGATAGTAAAAGGATGGTAAAAGGCTTTTTTTCAGGCAAGCCAAATTATAAAATATAGAAAACAAATTTCTTGCAGTAGAGGTATATTATAAAATTATATAAGGATTCTTGCCACTTAACTGCTAATATAGAAATTTAATTCTACGCTGTGTTTGTCATAATGCGGATCAACCTGCTCTCACTACCGGTTTCGGAGCCCTACTCCATCATCAGGTGAGCTTGGGAGATCCACAAAATGATAACCACAGCGCAGAGATAGTTAATTCCGACTTGGCGGAAAGTATCGGTTAGATATTAAGTCCCGAACGGGAGATAGCGGCCTGCGTGCAATGGTAGTACTTTCGTACCACCGAGGTGCAACTATCGATAGTAAGAGGATGGTAAAAGGCTTTTTTTCACACAAGCCAAATTATAAAATATAGAAAACAAATTACTTGCAGTAGAGGTATATAATAAAACTATATAAGGATTCTTGCCACTTAACTGCTAATATAGAAATTTAATTCTACGCTGTGTTTGTCATAATGCGGATCAACCTGCTCTCACTACCAGTTTCGGAGCCCTACTCCATCATCAGGTGAGCTTGGGAGATCCACAAAATGACAACCACAGCGCAGAGATAGTTAATTCCGACTTGTCGGAAAGTATCGGTTAGATATTAAGTCCCGAACGGGAGATAGCGGCCTGCGTGCAATGGTAGTACTTTCGTACCACCAAGGCGCAACTATCGATAGTAAAAGGATGGTAAAAGGCTTTTTTTCAGACAAGCCAAATTATAAAATATAGAAAACAAATTTCTTGCAGTAGAGGTATATAATAAAATTATATAAGGATTCTTGCCACTTAACTGCTAATATAGAAATTTAATTCTACGCTTTGTTTGTCATAATGCGGATCAACCTGCTCTCACTACCGGTTTCGGAGCCCTACTCCATCATCAGGTGAGCTTGGGAGATCCACAAAAAAAGCCTTTTACCATCCTTTTACTATCGATAGTTGCGCCTCGGTGGTACGAAAGTACTACCATTGCACGCAGGCCGCTATCTCCCGTTCGGGACTTAATATCTAACCGATACTTTCCGACAAGTCGGAATTAACTATCTCTGCGCTGTGGTTGTCATTGTGGATCTCTCGCCTGATGATGGAGTAGGGCTCCGAAACCGGTAGTGAGAGCAGGTTGATCCGCATTATGACAAACACAGCGTAGAATTAAATTTCTATATTAGCAGTTAAGTGGCAAGAATCCTTATATAATTTATTATATACCTCTACTGCAAGAAATTTGTTTTCTATATTTTATAATTTGGCTTGCCTGAAAAAAAGCCTTTTACCATCCTTTTACTATCGATAGTTGCCCCTCGGTGGTACGAAAGTACTACCATTGCACGCAGGCCGCTATCTCCCGTTCGGGACTTAATATCTAACCGATACTTTCCGACAAGTCGGAATTAACTATCTCTGCGCTGTGGTTGTCATTTTGTGGATCTCCCAAGCTCACCTGATGATGGAGTAGGGCTCCGAAACCGGTAGTCTAGAAAATCCGTTGATTTAAATCATTTCACCCTGGTTAGTAGGGTGAATTAGCCAGTGGTCAGACAGTTTAGGAAAAGCTGAGTTTAAATTATTGATTAAATTTTCTTTTTTGGTGGTATGGAAATTAAATCTTATAAAATAGATAGTGTGATTATTGGTCTTCACGTTATAAACCTACCAATAATTTAAATTATTTTTTTAAGTGATAAAAGTGGTTTTGTCAGTAGTCGGACAGCGCTTGCCAGTGTCTGGTCGGGTAGTGACCATAAGTTGGTCACTTAGTTATTAGCTGATTCTGCACAGTCCCGTATTTAATATACGTATTTACTAAAATTTTAATGGAAATTTAACCTTGAACATTATATATGGTTTTTTGTTGTATGTTATCTTTATGAAAAAATCATCTTTAAACAATACCCCCCCCCCTCTCACTCTCTCTCTCCATCATAGTACAAATAAAAGAACTAAAACTAAAAATAATTTTATCTTCAATATTTATTTAAGAGAACCATTTTCCTAAATCTTCAAACCTTCAAACCAAGACCTGATGTACTCTTGCATTACTTGAGCTCTGCATTTTTGTAGGGACTTGGCATTTTTGAAGAGTTCAAACGAGGATTAACTTTAAACGCGTTTTATAAAACCATGACTCTGTCCAGGTCTTCCATTAGTAAATTGCGTTTTCAACTTTTCTTCTAGATACAAACTTTTCAACTGTATTAACACCTTTTTTTATTGGAAATCCAGGTTTTCAATCTAGGTAATTTTTTTCATTATCTATGGTTAAAACAAGTTCTGGTCCCATGCGTTTGCAAACATTCAAACGTCGTTTATTTGTTTTTAAAGCTTCTTTTCGCACTGAAGGGATACCGGCGCGACCGACTGACAGGACCGATCCCAAAAGTCGATGCAAGCCGCGCACTGAAGTCACACGATCGACAGTCGAGAGTACGTCACCAGTATATTTGAGAATAGACGAGGAGAAGTTTATTCAAATTTTGTTAAATTCATTCGGTATTTCAAAAAATTATAAAGTACCTATTATATATATTATTATGTATATTTTTTTGCAACTTTTTATATTTTATGCTTTATGATGGAAATTTATATTATTTAGATCTTAACAAACCACATAAAATTAGTGAAATAGAGTGGAAGGTAGGGATACATTACTCTTAGCATTACCGATTTTAACAAATTTGGTGTCATTTAAAAGGGCTTAATTTGTTCTTAAAAAACAAAGCTAGATATGAAAAATAATCAAATAAAACTTTTATTTTTAGTTTCTTAATCTAAATAAGTGCAATTACAAACATTTATAAAATAATTTTATATAATAATATATATAGGTATATAGTTTTTATAGTACCGTATGATCGAAATGAAACGGCATCAGTGATGGCCATGAAATGAACATCGGTGTCATTTTATATGTAAATTTATATGAGAAATGTCATCAATCGTCATTTCCCAGCCAACTGGACGCCGTTTTTTTCTATCATACGGTAGATATATGTACAAATATTTTGTTCAAACATAAATTTTATTTTCTCTGTTTGTACTTTGTACGGAGCGTTTCAGGATGACAATTTAGGCAATGAAAATGTTATAGAACAAAGCGGAAGAATTGGCAGAATTGGGTTTTTAATTATTTCAAGCAATACTAAACCATATTTTTAACTTATTTCCCAATAAACACGTTTTGTCTGACCACTGGTGTATGTCCGACTACTGGCTAATTCACCCTATTTCATTATTTTAGAACCTCATAAAATCCGGTCATGCCTTGAATATTTGGAGTTATAGTTTGACACTTTGTGAAGAATTAGAAGAATTTGCCAAGAGACAACAATCTCATTTAGAAATATTTAGTTCACCTTTAGAAGTGGTAAGTGAAGAGAAAAATTGTATTGTGAATTATACACCTTTGAAATTTTAGGTGAAAAATTCAGATATAATAATCAGTTTATTATCTGATCCAGATCAACCGAAATTGATGATTCAAGAAATGCTTAAAGATAATCTGAATTTGAATTTTTTGAAAGGCAAGGGATATGTGGAGATGACCAGTGTGGACCCAGAGAGATCTAGAGATCTCTCTGAAATTATTACTAATAGGGGCGGCATCTATTTGGAAGCTATGGTTAGATTTTGCTTATAGCATTGTTACACGATATTTTTAAATTATATTATAGGTACAGGGGTGTCGCGAAGGGGCTATGAAAGGTGAACTTATGGTGTTGTTGGCAGGATCAAAAGATTTATTTAATGACTGTCTGTCATGTTTTAAAGCAATGGCAAAGGTAAATTTGTTATTTTTATTGTTATGTATATTAAATTATTTGTCTGATATTTCTTGTTTTAAGGCTACATTTCTATTAGGTGATGATAAAAGTCTGGGTGCTGCTTGTAAGATTCACTTAATATTGCAAATAATGAGAGGAATTTTCCTTACGGGCGTTACAGAAGGTTTTGCTATGGCTGACAAATGCGGCATTAAAGTAGGCAGTTTTAATAAAGTTTTTAAAAATATAGACTTGGCCAGTGATTATTTAAAAGGTAATTATATATATATATATATATATATATATATATATATATATATATATATATATATATATATATATATATATATATATATATATATATATATATATATATATATATATATTTATATATTAATTTAGATTTTACAGTCGCAGTCCACAATAATTCAGATTCTCATAAAAATAAATTTTCCGTTATAAGCAGAAAGCCGATGGCATAGAGACACTGCCAGTGTAATGCGCGCGAATACCGTCTCCTGTCTCACGTAATGGCGTAACTGACAAATTGAAATAATGGGTTACACCACTTGAGACTTCCCTACAGGCACAACTTTTATCTCACCAAGGGCTGTAATCATTAGCGTTACTAGCAAGTCATCCTGGGGAGTCTAAGGTTGAACCCAGGGGGGAAATGAAAAATGCCAGTTACGCCAGTACATGAAATAGCGAACGATATGTACTCTGGAGTACATATCATACACATCGTCCTGATCATGTCGTTCGTAGTACTCAGATAAGTATCTTCTCTCATTTAAATAGATACAAACTTTTTTGGCGGAAATATTCCGCCGCGCCCCGGCCTCCTTAGTGGGCGCGGACCTTTACCTCTTTCCCTTGCAGGAGCCGGGTTTAATAGGTTGTAATGATGGTTTAATTTTAATAACTATTTAGCTCTTTTTGCCTTTTTAAACTTTAATTTTATTAGTTTTGGTGTTTTATATATTGTTTTGCGTATTTAACTATTCTAGTTTTAATGATTTATAGGTTGTTAGTGAAATACTACGCTAATCGCAAAACATTTTCCGATGCACGTCATCAATCCTATAACCGCAAGTTGACATATGATATGTCATTCGATTCAGAGTGTCATTTTCTATCAAATAAAGTAAAAAAATACCGATGGTGCTATTTAAAAATCAAAAAGTTGTAGTCATTTCCGGTGAAACAGGAAGTGGCCGAAAACAATTAAATACGTCAATCAATCCCAATTTATGTCATATACTAACATACCAAATATAATAGTAACACTTTGAGACGCACCCGGTAGAGCAAATGATTATAACATATATTTTATTTAGATTAAAGCTGCAAAAATTATTTTAAACCGAATTTTATTCGCTATAATAAAATCGCTATGTTGGTCACATTGCGCAGTGTTCAGCGATGTTGTCCTTTATTATTTGACAATTATCCTAGTGTCAGTCATTATTTTGTATATCGTATTGTTGTATCTTTGTGAGTAATTCTCATTTTTGCCTGTTTTCATAGTCTTTTTTTAAAAATTGCACTTTTAAACACAAACAGTTCTTTTAAGAATTAAATTTTCGAGTTTTTGTGTTGCATTTCTTGAAATTGTGTGTTGAAAATATACCGAAGCATTTAATACCGCTTGCAGCTTCCCTCTTTTTTTTTTAAAACTATTTTGAACGAGAACATGAAAATAAAGGTCCTTTATTACCCTTGACTGCAGTCAGAAAAGTAAGTTTGATTGATAAGCACATTGTACCACTTTCAAAGTTATTTCTGTTTATTTCAATTTGTAGCGAGTAGCTGCTGCCTTAAATTTAAATCTTTCTACTTTTAGTGCAGTTTCACAGGCTGTTAATATTAATGAGGTATTAAAAAGTAAAATAAGCTATAACACAAATAAATAAATTAATTACTAAAATAATGTTACGTTTTTCGTCGGTTCCGTGTGGATAGAAAGTCACAATTTATTTAAACACAATTTATTTAACACTAATTAACAAAAACAATAACGATAAAAGACTTAAAGAATTATTTACAAACGATTTACAACTATTTATCTAGAAAGAATTTATTTTGAACTTAGCGCGTCAACTGTACTCGTCTTATTTATATCTGCCCTCTGTAGGCCCCAGCCGCCGGCTTTTATACCCACAGCTAAAGATTTCTAGAATAGTCCATAGATTGTTAGGTGCATAGAGAAGGTTTCGATTGTTCTCGTATGTACTACTCCATTCCAGTGGAACTCGATTCTTCTCGAAACTTCGATTGAATTATTACGGTGTCTATTCTTTAATGCGATGTTAAGGTCATCTGAGGGCGGGACATATAGTTAGGTTAGGTCGAGTCCACACGGGTCCGCAACACTGCCCCCTTCTGTACTACTGCCCCCTTCTGTACGTCCCGAGATGTACACGGTGAATGAAGGTATTTGCAAAGCTGGTCCCTGGTACATTGAGAAGTCTGGTAGAAATAGCAGTCTACAGTTTTCTCTCCCGATCTCAGCTTTGAGTTGTAGCAGCAAACGAGGATCTCGATTCCCGTAAATCTGAACAAGACTTCAATCATGTTCCGGATTGTACGCCAACTCAAACCATCGAGTCCACACGCCAGTTTCGGAATGGCTAATCGTGTAATGTTGTTGTTTAGCAGGGCTTCTCTCAGTTCAATCAGGGTCTTCCATAGATTGAGATAAGTCGGCTTACTCGGGGACCATTCCTTGGTGACCAGGTGGAAGATGTGTCTTGCTTGACCATGTGCATTGTCAAAGACGCTTCCAACCTCTGGATCCTGTCGGCGTAGTTCTCCGACACGCCCAAACTTCTCATTGAACGTCGCAGCGATTCCTCTGGACATCCGCAAATCTCGGGCCACACAGTGAGCGAGCTAATAATCAGAAGGCACGGAAAGAGATTTAGTTGTTCCTCTTTGGTTACACCATAGCGAGCCTTCTCACTGCTGTTGTATCGGGCCATGAAATCGTCAAAGGACATCTCCGAATCAGGGGATCAAAGCTGCAGGTTCTCACGGTCCCAGCACGATCTTCTATTTCGCCTTGGTAGGGGCTCAAACGGTTGAAATGGACTACCCTCGGCTTTCCTTTTGGCAATTTTCTGATACGGTATACGACGTCATTAATCCTATCCATGACTTCGTATGGCCCTTCCCACGAGGATTGTAGCTTCGGTTGTATAGCCACACCAACTTCCCTGGTTGGTATCCTCCATGCTCAGCTTGAATGTCGTAGTGTTCCTTCATTCGGTCACTAGCACTTTGAATATTTAGGCGGACTCGCTGATGGATGTCGTCCATCCTTTGACGTAGTGTGTGGACATAATCTTCCCCGGCGACTTCTTCTCCCGGTCGGCAACCAAATTTCAGATCACAGGGTAGGCGCACTTCCCGTCCCATAACGATGCTGGCTGGAGTTTGCCCTGTGGATTCTTGGACGGATGAGCGGTAGGCCAACAGGAACAGGTGAAGGAATTTGTCCCAGTCTCTTTGGTGGTCAGAGACTACTTTGGCCAAATAACGGTTGATGGTTCTGTTCATGCGTTCAACCATCCCATCGGATTGTGGATGTAGAGCAGTCGTCCTGGTCTTGCGGATGTTCAGGACTTCACAGACGCCTTGGAACAGATTGGACTCAAAGTTTCTTCCCTGATCTGAATGAAGCTCCATGGGAACACCAAACCTGCAGATCCATTCTTTAACAAGGGCATCAGCAATCGTGGACGCTTCTTGATTTGACAACGCGTAGGCCTCGACCCATTTGCTGAAATAATCCATTACTACCACAATATATGTGTATTCCATGTTGTTCATCGTTCGTCTCTGGGAAAGGACCAGCCACGTCGATCGCTATTCGTTCGAAGGGACTGCGTACTAGAGATCTGCACGGGCCACGGGCCGGGCCGGTTTCGCACTGTCAATAGGGGTCGGGCCTCGGGCCGGGCCGGTTCCGCACTTTAAATAGACACAACTTTGCTTCTGTACATGTTTTTGAGACACCCTGTATTATAATAGGTGTTTTTAGGCTATGTTTTTTTGTGAAATTGATAGATTGTCTGGAATCGACAAAGAACTACTTGGAATAATTGTAATTGAAAGGATTTTTGTAATTTTATTTTGATCATTTTATTTTAATGGTTCGGGCCGGGCCGGACTAGTTTAAGTTTTAACTTTCCACAAACCGGGCCGGGCTTACAAAACCTACTTCTCTTCTCGGGCCGGGCCGGGTCGGGCTACAAAAAACCGGCCCGTGCAGGTCTCTACTGCCTACATTGTACTGGCGCTTGGGGCTTTACCGCGCTTTTGTGACCCATTGATGACGGCGCAAACGTCACATTTCTTGCACCAGGCCCTCACATCTTCTTTGCAGTTCACCCAATAGAACCGTTCACGCAGCTTGCCAAGTGTCAGAATGGTTGCTCGTAGCGATTTTTATCAAGAGACCTTTTTTACGTAAAAAGTCACGAAAATGTATATTTTTTCACTCAGTAGTTTTATATAGGTACGGACGAAAAGTTATTACTCTTCAAAACATTTAAAACATATGTAGCTGGCGCCCCCTACAAAAGGAGTCATATTGACATCAAAATAAAATTTCTCATATCAAAAAACTGCCAGACACCAATTTTCGTCCAAATATTAACATTACTTCATAAATTATTTGGAAAAAATCGAAATAAAAATGAAACTTCTACACCCTATATCTCCGAAACTAAACATTTTAGGACATGCATTTATATGAACTTTTTTATTTATTTTTTATCTGCAGAATAAGCTGCCGAAGTTTCCGGAATACAGTTCGGACCACCCTGTATAAACTCTAAATCAGACAAATGTAAATATCATCTCTTTAGTAGATGTTATTGTGGGGTTATAAGTCACTAATACGGATTTATCCCGAAGATTAACCTAAATATATTTAATTCAATTTATATTAATTTATACCCCTTCTTAGACTAATGATAAATTTATATAAAAAAACAACATAATAAAAAAAAACACAAATGACTATAACAGAGATGTTAGTGAGCGTCCATAAAATGCTACTTACGTTAGGCGTTTTTGAGGATTTTAATAATTATAAAATTTATATCATTTTTTTTATTTATTTTTTATCTGCAGAATATGCTGCCGAAGTTTCCGGAATACAGTTCGGACCACCCTGTATAAACTCTAAATCAGAGAAATGTAAATATCAAAATAACTTCTGCGCTAATAGCAATAAAACTGAATAAATTTAAAAAACACTGATGCCTAAAATTAATGCGGGATTAAAAGAGAGGTCTCAAGTAACACCAAGATGTCCACCGCATTGTGAACTTTCTCCAAGACTTCCGGGATCCTCTTCTTTGGAATGACGATCTGTCTTCTTTCTTGTCCCTCTGGTCTCTCGATCACACGGCGAAGTAATCCGTTATCTATTACCAATGAATTCCACTGGGCCGACTTCACGTTCGGCGAATATCCGCAAACATCCTCCCACGTTGGTCTTTGGCCTGCGTTTTTCCAGTTAATTTCTAAACCTAATTCTGGGTCACTGGTTTGGTCATTTGCAAGACCTTCGGGTTGCCAAGTATCATTAACCACAGTTGTTCTTAGGAGTTTCGCTCTTTCTCTTCTGCTCGGGAACAATGCTTACAGCCCGTATAGCAAGGTCTTCTGGAAAGTGCGTCGGCATTTCGATGGATTGCCCCAGCTCGATGTTCTGTGTCGAAGTCAAATTCTTGTAGTCGTTCGATCCATCTAGCTACCTGCCCTTCAGGATTCTTAAACTGCAACAGCCATTTCAAAGCAGCATGGTCTGTTCTTAACAAGAACTTTCTTCCATAGAGATACTTGTAGAAGAGTTCCACTGCTTTAACTACGGCTAGTAATTCTCGTCTGGTCACGCAGTAGTTCCTTTCCGGTTTTGACAAGGTCTTACTAAAATAACCAATTACTTTTTCTTGACCATCCTGGATTTGAGACAGAACAGCGCAGAAGTTCAACACAGAACCTGGTGGTACCGTCTTTCTTCTTTACTAGTACTACCGGCGATGTCCACGGGCTGTTATATGGTTCGATGACACCCTCTGCTTTCATTTCTCGAAGGATTTTGTGAGCTTCTTCACGTTTGGCGAGCGGAAGTCTTCTCGGATTTTGTTTGATTGGTCGTGCATCTCCGGTGTCAATTTTATGTTGTACTAAATTGGTACGACCTCTATGTCCTGCTTCTCCTCTATCAAACACATCCTGATACTTGATTATTAGGTTTCTCAATTTTCTACTATCTTCGGGAGATAATTCCTTAACGTTTACTAACTCCTTCACCATTTTGTCCGGAATTTTTGAAGTCGAAACTTTGGAAGCTTCCACGCTTCGAATGACTGAGGAGACCGAACAACAGTACCCTAACAGGGTTCCCTTCTTCAAGGATACAGAATAATAATTCGTGTTCATTACTCTCACCGGTACCGTCTTCTTCGCTCGTAGTAAGGCTTTTCCAACAGCAACCCCTCGTCCTATTTCGCTGTCATGGTTCCTTGGCTCCAACAGAATAATACTCCCATTATTCATTTTACCTTCCAGGCAACCATCCAAAAATATCCCGCAGCGCTCAGGGATCGAAACATCTTCTGCTACCACCACATTTTCGATGTAGAACCACTTCTTCTTCATTTATTTTCAAAATTCCTTGTTTGAAGTTTAGTTCAAAACCTCTAGTGGTCATGATGTCCATTCCGAGAATAAGTTCATCTTCGATATCTGCTACTAACACTGGATGTTGAAAACTGGTGCTCCCGAGAACAAAATTAAGGTTTACTTCTCCATGGACAGCAGCGGAGCTTCCCGTAGCAGTACGTAGTCGCCATTGTGTTGTTTTAACCTTCTTCGATATTTTAAGAATGTCGGACTTGATGATAGTTTTGGTCGCACCTGTATCCAACAGCATGGTCCGGAACTTTCCATCAACGAAACCATCCACAAAAATGCTGTTGAATTTGTGTTTTAGCGAGGCGACTTAGGCTGTTTTCGTTGGGGCATGTTGGGTACAGGTCGACGTGTGCCCCTTCATTTCGACCCTTAGTAGTTTTCCGACCTCGACGAAGCCGGTTCTTCGTTCTTCTCCTTACAACGGCTTCGCACGTGTCCTACCTGTCCGCAGTTCCAGCAACGAATCGGTCCGTTCTTGCCCATGTACTGGTCCATTACTTTCCGAACAATCGCTTCCACGGATTCGTCGGACATTCGTCGATGGCCCGCACTCTTCCTAAAGACCGAGAACTTTGTTTCGCGGCTTCGAATTCTAGGGCACGTGCTAAAGCATCCACCAAGTGCGTTGGGTGGGCTAGGAGAAGCGCTTGTCTTGTCTCGTTGTCACGTAAGCCGTCGGAGAATGCCTGTACTGCCAACCGCTCCATAACATTCTCGGGCGTAGCAGGGTACGCAAGGCGAACGAGGCGGGCTACATCGGCTTCAAACTCCTGCAGAGACTCATTTGCCTTTTGAATGCGATTGTTTAGCTGGGAATGATAGACGTGTTCCAAATGAGCTTGGCCGTACCTCATTTCTAAATGTCGTACCAATTGCTGATAATATCTCCCTGTTCCGATGGTGACAGTGTCTGCAGGATATCAGTCGCATCTCAAGCAGTCAAAGCGATAGCTTTTTCAGCGATTGTCCAGCCGTTCGCTCTTGCAGCGGCTTCAAATTGGCAAAAATAATTGGCCCAAGCGGTTTTTCCGTCAAACTGTGGAGGTTTCATAACTGATTTTGATGCATACCTATTTTCGACTAGTTTCGGTCCCTCCGATGTTTGGTGAATTTCTATTTCTTCTTGAAATGATGTTAAGGTCATCTGAGGGCGGGACATATTGTTAGGTTAGGTCGAGTCCACACGGGTCCGCAACAATATTAAGATTCGTCTCATAAATCCATCACAATCTGGCAGCGCTGTCGCCATCGCGTGTCGCTCAAAGTTGATCACGTATATCGGAAATTGTTTTGCAATTACTATACTTCAAAAACTCTGAAATATTATAGAAAATTTTATATAATGAATTATACATAATTATATTTTTCGATTCTGAACCATAACAAAAACTCCTGGTAAAAAGGAATTAGACTGTCCAGAAAAATTCTTTATGGGTATTTCGCCACTGCACTGCAGGAAAATCTACAAAATATAGCGTTCCCCATGTTTATGCATTTTTTTCTTTGTTAGGCAAATTTGTATAACTGTGACTTTCAGTCGACTGGGCGTTGATTCGACTATCGATCATTTGGCACAAGAAGCTACTTCGCGTCGATACTTTTGGCGACATCTGCCGGTTCGATACGCACACTCGGTCGTTTGACCCTATTCTAAACTTCATAAGACTCTCATAAAGACCCAACTTCTCAAACTGATTCGACGCGCCGACCGGTTAGAATGAAGAGTAGATCAAGATACAGTGCGAACAGCACTATTTGTATACTTGGACTGATAGGTTGTTATGTACCTTTGAATAAGAAGACTAAGGAAGGAGCATAATGCTATCCATGTATTCATGCATGGTGGGCGGAAAAAGCGCCATAAAAGCACTCTAGGGTGGGAATCCTTGACAGTTCTGTTTGACGATTCATTTGACACATTTGAATTTGATTTGAAATTTTGTGGATTTGTCAGTCTTTACGGAGATTATTTTATGTTATTTATTATTTATTCTACTACTGATAGTTGTATAAAGGTAGTAAATCTAGATGGAAATTGTGTCAGCACTTAAATTAACAGTGACACTATCGCGATTTATCGAAAAAGACTCTAAAATAGTTGGTTGTGTAGCGTGCGGTAGATCTCGGCAAAAATTGAGTGAAATAATGGAACAACTTTTTGCTAGTAAGTGACTATATAATATACTTAATAACTACTAATGAAATTCACTTAAATTAACTAAATTATATATTTTTCTTGCATTTTAGCTTTTATTTATTACTTGTCAAAGATTAGATGTCAAAGAATTTAGATATGTTAATTTGACTTACCTGCTTCAGTAGCGTATCGGATGTTTGTGGTAATAAATACTTATTATAACTTATCTATTTTTATTAGAATTATATATTTTTATAACAATTTTAATAACTACCAACATTTATTGACAACGTAAAATAAAACAACAAATTATTGAGTCTACCCCACGTCTACCCTACATCATAGTTTTACATTTTTTAAATAAAATTAGAACGACACTGATAAACCGGAATTTAAGTCGGCCATATTTGAGGCCCATCGCGGTGTACCTAAGATTTTTGATATGCTCCTTCCTTAGTCTTCTTATTCAAAGTTATGTACCCTTAAAGTTAAATCATTTGTCAAGCCGGCGAACCAGCGCCACTTGAAAATCGCACCTCCCGGTGTGTACGCTTCAATTAAAATGTACAGAACTATGCGTCTATCTGGTGGTTGAATCGACGCCGTTTCGACGATGTCTTAGGATGTCTGGTAAGGTATATATTATGTTTTTTTTTGTAGGCAAAGTAGATATGATAATGAATGGAAAATATACGCCAAATGAACCTCTGCAACAATTACAAAAGGACTTGGCATTAGGATTAGAAATGTCAAATATCTACAGACAACCCATGCCCTTGGCCTCAAATGCCAATGAGATTTTAAAACATGCCCGTAGATTAGGTTATGATAACCAGGATGCTTCTTGTATATACAATCGTACAAGATATTGAATGTCAAAATGAAGTTCAAAAAAAATTAATTAATTTTATCAAGTACTTGAAATCAATTTAAAAAATACATATAATCATCAATTTATTTAAAAACCAGATATTGTCCAAATTTTTGGGTGCCTTGGTTTTTTTCTTAGTTTTTATATAACTAGTTTAAAGTAATTAATGTAATTCTTTTAAAAGTATTGTTTTCCAAAATAAGAAATATACTACTATATAGCAAGACTATTTATTTTCTCTGTATAAATATATTATATTAAAGTTAATTAAAACTTTTCTCTGACACTCATTAATAATTTTCTAAAAATAAAAGATTATTGTATTATGACAGCGTCCTATTTTGATATTATATACAGAATCAAATTTATCATAATATACTTATAATATATTTAATAAAATTGTACATAGGTATATAATATACCTACTATACAGGATGTCTTAGAAATAAGTGTAGTTATTTTAAGGGGTGGTAGATCTGACCAAATGAAACGTCTTTTATATTCACCATTTTTAAAATAAATTAAAAATAACCGAGTTATTTAACATTTAAAAATAAAAAAATTGCAACATTTTAAGAACCGCTGACGATAACCGGCTATTAAGGGATTTTCACGAGGAATCTGAAATTCCTGGAATTAGTTGTTGTGTATCGTTGGTATACGGTTTATTTGTTGATGTCCATGTCTGACTTGTTGATGTTCCGAATAATGAATTCTGATAAACATGTTGGTATTTCCTTTTATGTGATCTCAGTATGAATAATATGGTGAATTATTTTATTAAATTTAGTTCTAAATATGTAAAGTTATATTTTGCGGTGCAACTATGATTTTTAAATATGTAAACGTCCTAAGAATAATTTTACCCGTAGAGAAATCTCAGGGTGCATCCATACTGTCCTAGAAACGGCGTAACGACCTTGAAAAGATTTCCAGTAATTCTATTGGCTGAAATTTTTGACAGATGAATTTGACAGATAAAATTTCTGACAGATGAATTTTTCAGCCAATAGAATTGCTGGAAATCGATTCAAGGTCGTTACGCCGTTACGCCGATACGCCGTTTTTAGGATAGTGTGGATGCACCCTCAGGTGAATCAACAAGTGACACTGAAAAGTTTTTTAAAATTTCCCAGAAATCCAATTTTCAACAATTTTTTTTTCGCAAAAAACCTAATAGGCGTGATTCTGGGGCCGAAATATTACCATTTAAAATATCTGCACTTATTTCTGGGACACCCTGTATATTTAGTAAAATTGCACATAATACATAAAACGGAAATATAGGGGTTGGGAGAATGCAAGGCATAGAATAATTAACTATGCAAGGACTGTATTCTTGTAGAAACGGCGGCGTATCGGCGTAACGACCTTGAATAGATTCCAGTAATTCTATTGGCTGAAATTTTTGACAGATGAACTTTTCAGCCAATAGAATTGCAATTTCATATGTCAAAAATTTCAGCCAATAGAATTACTGGAAATCTATTCAAGATCGTTATGCCGCTTCTAGGATAGTGTATCCACACTGACGCCGTTTTTATTCGATCATATGGTAAAGGCACGGCATATAAATCACACAGCAGGCTAACTCTGCCCAGATTCCATTGGGCGCATTCAGTAAACACACCGGTATTAACCGGTAAAGACCTACCGATAACTTTTCATTGAACGATTAAATAACCGGTACGTAAATAAACCGGAAACAAAATACGGTAGGCCCTCAAGTGATCGGTGACCACAAGCGGTGAGTTACCATTGACATTAGACAAGTTAAAGCAAGGCACAATACGTATACGTATCTTTCGACACGTAACGCAGAAACCTACGTTACGTCTGCCGTTGCGTTGTCGTGTAAACAAGAGTTAAAGCAAGTATTTTGACGTAAGTAACGCAAATGGTACATTTGTAATTCTAAATTATTTTGTGAAATAATTTATTTAATTTTAAAACTGAAAATGGATATCTATTATTCCATTGATTCCACATTAAATTTATAAAAGTAATATCGAAAAATGAAGAAAATTATCAATGGAAATTATTTTATTACATGCTCTGCTTAGTAATAAAAAATATTGGAAAACAGACACAGTTTTATGATTAGAGAACAACGGTATACGGTCGAGTCGGTCGCTGCTGGCACGTAGACGTAAAGAATCTTTTACGTGTATAAAAAAATAAAAAATATAAGAAATGCGCATGCGTATTATTTATTAGATTCCATCTTTTAGAATCCTCATATGGATTTTGGCTAAGAACTAGCATTTAATGAAATAGATTCCAAAATGAGTTTATTATGATGCTTAATATTTTCATACTAATTTATTGTAATAAAATAGACCCAGTTCTGTTACACAGGCCCCAAAATTTATGAAATAACTTAATTACTAGCCAGTTGTGGAAACGAGTTGTTTGTGAATTTGTACGTTCGGCATCATTCGGGTGAAATCGAAACTCCTTCGGCTCGATACGTTTGCGTTTTGTACGCACATAAAGGCACGTAAAGATACGTATCACGTATCCGTAAAGGCAAGTGAATTTCTCACTGCGCAAGCGTACATGTCAAACGATACGTTTACGTCTACGTCTTCGGCCGTGCTTTAACTGTCTATTCACTTTAATTTTCTACACCGGTGGAGTAACCGGTGTATTTACTGAATGCGCCCATTGTTTAAAATTTCTATAAAGTTTGACATTGAAAACACCATTTATGGGAAGATTATGGGTGCCGAGTGCCGGAGTCAGGGGTGCAACTTTGTTCATGTTTCAAAGCGATAGCAAAGTAATTTGTAGCTTGTGGCACTATGTTCAGTAGCAACATCGATTCGTAGCGATATTCTGATTTCTCGCTTTGTGGCGAGGCGACAGTCTAGACCGTGTCGCACACGTGTGCAAGAGTGTGATAGTGATACCATATTTCGCAGCATTTGAGCGACAATAATTTTGCAATGAACATAGTACCACAGATAACACATAATCCAGATGGCCATTGCTTACGGAACAGCATGTTTTCGATGAGACAATTCCCTATTAATGACACAGAGGGCGCCTATAGCCAAATCTAATAATATTTTTAAAACGAACGAATTTGGAGCCACACCACGGCCACGCGATGTGAAGCGACGTAGCCGGTTGTTCACATTTATAAGCAAATTCCCGGTCAAACCCAGGAAAATGTATATTCGGACTTTAATACTAGACAATTGGATATGAAAATACTAGTCGCAGTGGATGTTTGAAAGTCCAGAATTTCTAGATGCATATATATGCTATTTATAGCCATGAAATTTATAATTTAGATTTTATTTTTATTATTTGTCTCTTAATATTCATTAGCTGAAAATAAGGGTAAATGTTATCTATATAGTAATAAATAAAATTTGGCACATAGGTTCCTTAAGTGATGTAAATGAGCACTAAGAAGGGATGTTTTGAAAATTCGACCGCTAAGGGGGTGAAATTAGGGATGAAAAGCTGCATAAAAATTTGTTAAAATCTGGTTTAAGAGTATGAAATTTTTCACGAGTGCTCCTTGACTGACGTAATTGAACACTAAGGGGCAATTTTGGAAATTCGCTCGTTAAAGGGGGTGATATGGGGGTACTTTTGTATACAAAAAAGCATGTACTAGGACTACGAAATTTTGCACAGAGGTGCCTTAAGTAGCGTAACTTAACAGTTCGATTATGCAAAAGCGATTTTAGGAAATTCTTCTACTAAGGGGTGAAACTGGGGTGAAATTTTGCATACTTTTTAAAATTAGTCCGAGGAGTTTGAAATTTGGAAATTGTTAATTAAGTGACGAAAGTGAGTACTCAGAAGCGAATTTTGGACATTCATCCCCTAAGAAATAAGGGATGAAAATTGGTATAAAAATTTGTTAAAATCGGTTTTAGAAGTATGAAATTCTGCGTAGACGTTCCTTATGTAACTTAATTTAGCACTAAGAGGCAATTTTAGGGAAATTTTCCCTCTAAAGGGGTGAAATGAAGGGTGAACGTTCTGAAAAAAATCTGTCCTAGAAGTATGAAAATTTGCACAGAGGTTCATCAGTGATGAAAGTTATACTCAGAAGCGAATTTTGGGCATTCATCCCTTAAGAAATAAGGGATGAATATATGTTTAGCACTAAAATTTTGTTAAAATCGGTTTTTAGAAGTATAAAATTGTTCGCAGACGTTTCCTTATATAAGGGTAATTTAGCACTAAACAATTTTTTTCGAAATTTTCCCTCTAAGGGGTGAAATGAGAGGTGAACTTTCTGAGAAAAAAATCTGTCCTAGAAGTATGAAAATTTGCACAGAGGTTCCTCAAGTGATGAAAGTGAGTACTCAGAAGCGAATTTTTAGGCATTCGCCCCATAAGAATTAAGGGATGAAAATTTGTACAAAAATTCATTAAAATCGGTTTTGGAAGTATGAAATTTTGCACAGGACGTTCCTTATGTAACGTAATTTAGCACTCAGGAACAATTTTGGAAATTCGCCCTCTAACGGGGTGAAATGAGGTGTGGACGTTCTGAAAAAAAAATTGCTTGTTATTGCTAAATTACGTTACATAAGGAACAAACAGAATTTCATACTTCTAAACCCGATTTTAACAAATGTTTGTACAAATTTTCATCCCTTATTTCACTCTCTTAGGAGATGACTGTCCAAAATCCACCTGTACAAAATTCCACACTCGTACGACTAAAAATATAGAGTTCTACAGGGTGTCCCCAAAAAAAGTTACACATCAAATTTGTGTTTTTTTGTAACGGAATACCTCCTTTATTAATTAATTTTTAGATTCTAAGAGAAAAATAAAGGTGTGTTTTATTAGGGAAGTATATGACTGAAATGTAAGGTTTTAGACTTACTTAAGATTTTGAAGAACAATTTTTAAATTTCAAGAAAAACTACCTAAATTGGAATTTACTCTATTGCACTTTAAATCAAATTAAAACCTGACCCATAAAGTTATACAGGGTGGGGCAAAATTAATGCTGAACATTGGTATAACCTGTATAACTCCTTTAATACCACCCTGTATAACTCATTTAGTTTAATTGACCCAGAATATTATTCCGATATTCAATGGGAAATTCATGTCACTTCCAAATACTATTAAGGTTGCCGGCCTACCCCTCAAACAAAGATTTTCCTAGATATTTTCATTTCTATGATTTAGTGTGAATAGATCTTTATTATTTGATAAAATCTAGGATGGCTGTGATATGTCTGACGTTAATCAAAACATAGCTGTCAAATTAGTTCAACTTTAGCAACTAGTTATCATTTTGTGTCAGTTCGTCAGTTGAAACAAAAAAAAATCTAAGAAATTTTCCGAAAATAGAAACTTATCCTACATCAGAGAGAATTGATATGATTCTATTAGTTAGCTCCTGATTTAATCTAGTCTGGGCTTTTTATTTGATTAACATATATCAAATAAAAAGCCCAGACTTTTCATTAGTGTTAACAAAACTCGACCAAACCAAACCAAACTATTGTCTGAAACTGCATTTTTACTTACTAAATATGAATTTTACTTTGTTTTGTTGATCTTTGAAAGGTGTATAAAGTCGAATCATTTTAGATTGGACATTTAAATTTTATGGGATTTTCGGGATCCCGGAATTTAATATCGGGATTTCGGAGATAAACATACACGCCGCCGGGATCTTGGGAGTTCGGGATTTCAGGAAACTCTAGTCGTGAGATTAATGATGTACAGATGCATGTCATGTTGATTTGGAAGTGACAATCGATAAGATTTATCATATAATTTTACATACCTATTAAACGACAGCGATCTTCATTTCCAAGCCCACTCCCATGCCTTTTTTTTTCTATCGTACGGTATATTCACTAACTGCATTACCTACTTATAATTTATAACAGTTTATATTCACTGATTCATTTATAATTTGTATCCACTTAATATTACTTGATTTATCCATCGTAAACTTTGCATAGATATAGAAATATAACGATGGACAACTCTTAATGTGTTAAATTATACCCTACGATCCAAAAAAAAAACGGCGTCCGATTGGTTTGGAAATGACGATCGATGACATTCCCCATATAATTTTACATATCAAATGACAGCGATCTTCATTTCATAGCCATCGCTGACGCCGTTTTTTTCGATCATACGGTATATGGTAAAAAGCCATCGATCACCATTTCTAAGGTAACTTAACGCCGTATTTTTACATACAAAATGTGCAAAAAAATTCTATATGAATGAACTCACAATTTTCTATCCACTTTGTACATAAATTAGGATCTCTTGACGCATGAAACTTAAACACATGTAACCTGATTTCCGAGAAATCTCACAATTGTAAAATTGACACTTATTACCAGATATTTTAATAATAATTATCACTAATCACACAGTTGTAATCAAAGACAGTCAAAGGTATATAGTATATTACCATCACAGATTACCATATATTACCCGGCTTTTAAAATATCCATTAAAAACAAAAAACAGTAACGACATATCTAAATATTCTATCCTTGTCGCATATGGTTCGTTCCTGTATTATTCTGTGATAAGGGAAGGAATAGAGATTTTCTGTGATAAGTGGTAAAGCTAGGTTTTCATATGTACAAATTTGGCAAACTTTCCAGGAAATTCGGTCTTATTTTTATTATAAAATTATTTATCATAAACAAATTTATTGTAAAAAAAAAATTTGAACGTATATTCAAATTTTAAACGTTTCAATTAATAAATAACGTAAATCACTTTTAAATTAAATTTAAGAAAAAAAAATCAAAATTAATAAAACGTAAATCACTATAACAAATCATTATTTTAATTTCAAATTTATATTTCGAAGTTATATTACAAGTTATTTACTGTTGTCTTATACAGAGTATATCAAGACAAATGCGAAACTTTAAGGGGTGTATTCTTTGTTATTTGTCAACATTTTTAAAATAAGCTGAAGAGGTTGAAATAAACTATTTCTAATATTCGTTAATTTGACAAAAAACTGGAGCAACGATATGGAAAAAATGGATAGATTTGTATATTTAGAACGTTTTTATGACTTGCAATTTTTCCATTAAATTCATTATTTGAGGTTAAAAAAAATGTAAATCATTATGTATTGGGACCAAAAAAATAATATTTTAGCAAAGAAGCTGTTCGCCTTAAAAACAGTTTTATTTTCTACTACTGTAAAATATTTTTACAAACGACATATAGAGATAATTGATTGACAAACATGTTTTAAGCTACCCTTCTAAATCTTCCTTAAAATAAAAAAAGATTAACAGATGGGAATACATATTATACCGTATGATCGAAAAAAAAACGGCGTCCGGTTGGCTGGGAAATGGCAATCGATGACATTTCCCCATATAAATTTACATTTAAAATGACAGCGATCTTCATTTCATAGCCATCGCTAACGCCGTTTTTCGATCATATGGTATATCAAATAAAGTATTATTAGAAAAGCTCACTAGATTGTTTTCTAGTAAAAAAACCTTATTTTGTCACAACAGGTGACATTTTTTGTTTTAAATCAAGTAGGTTTTAAAAAACTACAATATAGGTAAAAAAGTTTCTAAACAAATAAAATATCCAAATTAATTTATTTCCAATGACAATAATGTGTAAGTTTGTAATTAAAGTTAGTTAATAAGAATAATAGGTGTAGTATATTTCAACATCATTCACTGGTTTTAAAACATCAAAAAAATATGCATGTGTTTTCATAGTTTAAATATGAATTGTTCCTTACGTTAGTTCTTATTGATATAAAAAGCAAAAAAAGTATAAAATTAAAGCTGCAATTTTATTAAAAATATGTTATTCTAACACATATTTTTTTTTAACTGTAATGTTCTAAATTGATCAAAATATAAATGTTATTTTTTTTCTAGGAAAAATAAAACTTCATAACTTAATTTTCATAAATAAATTTATTTCTATTAAATTTTATAGAGCAATTTGTATTACAGTTTTATTTCACATATTTTGTAATACTGCTTCGGTGCAGTGCCCCATTGCTATCTGTGAGTTCATTTAAATTATGACGACATTACTGATCTAGAAGATAGAAATGTACCTAAGTACCTTAATATTATAATCAAAAATGGCTAATTTTGTAAATTATTACCTATAATGGTTAGATGAGTTAAGAATGTAAACTTCTTTACGTTGGTTTCTTGAAGTTAAGTGATATTAATTATCTTCGCATCATCATGGGCTCTAATCAACTGTAGAGTATTCGTCAATCAACCTGAAATATGTAATATTATTTACTTTATATTTACGAAAAATTATCATTTTCTTTTTATGAAAATTTTGAGTTTAAATTTAAATATTGATTAGAATAAATATACATCAGTATTTAACATTTTATCATAGGTAATATTCTATATATTACCTGTGATTTTTATGCTAAAATGTTTAGTTTTTGTGAAAATATTACTTACCTATAATATTTAAACGAGTTCCTGAATGTACAATTTGTTTATCACAATGTCAAGTTCTAAATCTTGTATTGGTTGTCTAAAACTGTTTGATTTTGCTTAGTTATATTGTATCCTATATTTTATTAAACAAACTCAAAATAATGTTTATAATTACCTTCATCAGCCTTCATATCATTAAAGTTATTATTATCACTTATCATTATCAGTCATTATGTAGTTATTTGTTCATTTGTTGCTCTGTTTGTTGGTTTGTTGTTGTCTGTGGTTGTTGTTTGTTTTCAAAGATCATTTTTGAGGTTAATGCAGAGAAATAGAAGGGATAGAGAATGAGCGTCAACATGCGCAGAAGGTCTAATCAAGTTGGGCGCCATATTCCAGGTCTTCCTGTCATTTTGTATATAGGTGGTAATCTATAAGTAATCAAATATCAATTTGCTCTTTTCAACCATACGGGGGGCAATTTACATTTAGTGAAATTATATCATTTATTATGGTTAGTTAACATTAATATGATTTATTTAATTATCAGTTTCAAAACTGCGTACAATATTGGTATATAATACACTAAATATACGAATATTCTGACAAAAGACGCTACGGACAGATGACCTTTTCGTCGTTAAACACTCGAAATGATATTAAATAAGTATTTACAATATTTCATGTTTACTTGTACTGAATTACGCGTTTCAATTTAAAATTTTTTGCAAATTTGGTAAAATTGTTCTAAACAACTTTTTGTTCAAGTTGTATATTCATAAAAACATTTGGTTCATAATTATTTTGATGATTACCTACCTTGTATTTTTAATATAAACCTAGAAAAAATATGTTTTGTTTTATTTTTTTATTCGTCCCTTCAAATTGTGTTACAAAAACTGTTACATAACATGTCCTCTAACAAATATTTTCATAATACATAAACATCATTGATTTTATTAAGGGGTATTATTAGTATTTATCCTGGTTTTTGTCGACAATGAAAACTCAATCTTGTAATAGAACATCAATTTTTATATTTCGTAAAATTATTTTGATACAAATTCAATTTGTCAAAATTCAAGTCATTAATATATTGATAAACAACCCAAATTATTCCTAAATATTTTATTATAAAAAAAAACTGTTACCGGTAAGTTTGTAAAACACATTATGGTTTGTTGTAATACTAGAAAAAATGATTTATTTTTTGCACAAAAGAAGCTTGTCGATCCTTATTTGTCCATAACAAAATTCTGTATGTACAACATACATATGTATACCTAATTTATTATTAAGAAAATTATATTATATGATCTCAGAATTTTAAGAAAATTTTTTTAAGATAAAATAGTTTCTTCTCAACTGTAATATTGTCAACTTTGGCCTGTATTTTATCTATTTAAAAACATGGGATTGACAATTCCCTTACTAAAATACATACTGGAAGGGACCGATTAAGTTTCATTGCATCAAATACCTTTGCTAAAAATCCTGGCTCACAATTTAAGGCCATTGCAAAATGCTTTTGAACTTCATCATAGATTTTACAAGAATACAAAGTGTAATATTGAAACAAAGTAACATTGTAAGCTTCATGACTAATAGTCTCATTTTTAACACTCTTTAAATATCATCTCGTTAACAATTATGAATATTATATGATTTTTCTCAGTGATTTGTGGCACAAATACAAATTAATATATGCCCCATAACAGTTTTTAAATAAAAACTTCTGCCTACAGATTTAATTTTCTTATTGGCATAATACCCTTTCTTCCTATATAAATCTTGCCATTTTTTCAGTCCAATGTTCCTTATTTTTACAGTTGTAGGAATACTAAAAATGTTGACTATAGAACTTGATACTATGTTTGAAAAGCCTTCATACCTGTAACTGTGCATAAATCTAATTAACTGAATTCTCCTCCTCTTGACACTCTGAACACTGCTGCTAATGTTAGAAATATTTAGCACAAAACTACAACTACCTACAACAAACTTTACAATAAAAATGTTAAATTTCCGCTGTTCAATTAAAATACCCTATCTTATGTTTTCTTTTCCTCCAAATAATCTTCTTGTCAAGTAAGGACCAATCTTATTTGACATATTTCTGTTTTTACTTGAACTTGTGCTTTCATGGACACTATAAGAGTGCACTGTTTTACAGAAGCACGAACATTGATTCCAAGTATCTTCTTCCTCCACACGTAATAAAAACATCCTCTTTAAATGGTCACATCATACACTTATTTTGACCATTCCCAATTACAATCACGATTTTTACAAAATCGCTTTTAGGAAAACTAAAATAAACAGTTTTGGATCATCTGTAAACACGATTATGTTGTATAAACTTACACATGAAAACTAATCATTTTTCCCGGCGTATTAGCTTTTCTTAGAATAACTATGACTAATATACAGCAAGCCTTTTTGAATTAGTGTTTAGAATAATTGAGATAATAATAAATTTTAACTAGATAACAACACAAACGAAAAAAAAAACAAAACAAACAGATGTCAATTAAAGAGGGGAAGCATAAAATAATTAACTAGAAAGAAGTGTCAACTCTGTGTTAAATCGTGGAAACACGATACGCCACCAGCCTTCGTTGTCGTCTGGAGAACTAACTTTCAATTGACAGGTTGACATGATGAAGCTTTAATTTTCATTTCCGTTTCCGGTTATTCCAATGGCGGGCCCTCTTTCTGTTCACACGTATTTTGTATTTTTTCTTTTCATAAATAAAACCAAAAACTAATTTATTCACATATTTTATTTGAAATATGGAACAACGTGACTAAATAAATATAAAAATATAGAAATAGGATTGTATTGTTTCAATACCAATTAGTTAATTATATGCACTTTTAACGTAAATTAGTTAAGGTATAAGCATGACTTACAGTAATTTGTAAACACACGCATTCGCAAACTTCAAGGACAGAAAACGGACACAGGAACATGAAAACACGGGCCTTATACAAAACCTGAAAACAGAAAAACAATTTTTTTATACAAAAATTAACAATGTAAAAATATCAATAGGTATAAAATATAAATAAACTGTTTAAAAAAAGCGTCCATTATTCCCAAAGAACCTGGCTTATAAATCAAAAGATGCAAAAGAGACTTTAGTCGGATAACATAATCAGATTATCGATTCCGATTTATTGCTTTATTGACAATAAATCGCACATACTGGAGATAACTAATGTTGGCTATAGTTAAAAATGATCTTACCTTGCTGTAAATTGTTTCCATTTTTCAAAAAATCGCCGATCAAAGAGATTATAACACCATTTTCTTGCATCTAAAAAAATGTAAAAACAGTGTTTATTTACTACCTATTTTTTGATATACATCGGACATACTACTACTGCCCAGAAACGTCATTTTCTCCAGGTTAACTATGACAATTTATATTTTATATACTTTATTACCTTTATAATAATAAATTTCAGCCGAAATATTAAATTGAACTTCAAAACAGAAACTAAACAGATGTGAATTAAAGCTGGCGTCGAATATTTTCGAATTTGTTCTAGAACAAAATCTGAGATTGTCTCTGAAACTGAAATCTGTCAATTCTAAACTGTGAAGTTAGACAATAGTTAGACAAAACAATGCTGTCCTTGTCTAGGCGGCCATACTTGTCGTGAGGAGAATGACAGGAATGACACTAATGACTGTTTCCAATTTTCCTATTTCAGTGTCACCCCCCTGAGGGGAAGTGACAGCGAGACCTGGAAGATGTCTGCCATCTTGCCGTCGACAAAAATTTGGATGCGCACTCGTCGAAGCTCATTCTCCCACTTCCATATCTCTGGGTTAATGTTATGGAGGGCTTAAAAAAGGAGATTTATCGGCAATGGGCAAATTTGAAATTTCTGTCCCCACTTTTAAGCAGCTTCCTCGGTTTGACAGCAGAGGCACTGCGATCGACTGGGATACTACATTTTCATTGTTAGTATACGATTTAATTGTGTTTTTAATAAAATTTATAGTTAATTTACTGAATTTTTAGCAGTACAACAATGAGTCGTGGTAGAAATTGCTTTGTACCTGGCTGTACAAGTGGGAATCCCAATAAAAACAAGGCAAATAAAGAACGGGGTGAAAGAAACCCAAGCCTTTTCAAAGCTCCTAATGTAAGTAGTATGACTATTTATTTATAAAAATTATGGATAGATGTTAAGAAAAACATTAAAATTATATACTGTCAGTGTACAGATTAAATTATAAACCAAATTAATAGGAAATATAGCCTAAAATCAACATGTGTATAACATAACCTAGGAGGCCTTGTTATAAAATTAAAATAATTTAATACTTACTAGGTGCTAAAATTACCTGTTGACATGTACCTATATTAACCACAGTTTGAACAGTGCTATTGAAAGTGAATATTAAATATTTATACTTCAAGATCGTATTCTCAAAATAACAGCTTTAATAGTGAAAAATGTTTTTTTTTTATTTTATTTAACAATTATATATCTTTTATTAGGATCCTAGCTTGCTACAGCAGTGGCAAAAGGCGATACCCAGATCAGACAAGACACTTAGCAGCAAAGATGCTGTTTGTGAACTACATTTTCTAGATGAAGATATTTTGACTCATTATGAGATCAAATTAACTGACGGAACTATCAGTAGAATTGAGCGGGGTAGACCATTATTAAAGGAGGGTTCAATTCCAAGAATTTTTCCTAACCTGCCTTCATATTTCTCTAGTAATAAAAGAAAGAGGAAACCACCATGTGTAAGGAGTGAAGCAACTGAAAAAGTTTCTAATTCAAAAAAAGTAAAAGGTCTGCCTATTAATCATGTTGAAAATCAAACTTCAGAACCTAACTTTGAGAATGAGAATGAAATTCTTCGTGATATTACTAATGTGCCAGTTGATGTTACAGACAGTAGAGTTACTATGTTCACAAATTTGAAAAATAGTTTGGCTGCAGTTGGCACACCAAACAAGCGATGGGCAGGTACATTTATTTCAGGTTCAAATGAAATAGTCTTTGCTGAGTGGGATGATACTTACTTGCCAAAAAAAAAAATTATAATTTGCAAGGATATGTCTTATAAGGTAGATATTAAGTATTTATTTTTGTTGGTATAAAGTTGTGTTTTTAATTTACTTATTTAAGGTTTTATTTGGGAAAACAGAAATTACTTTTGAAGAGAAAAGTTCAGAAATATCTAGTTTTGAAGAACTTGAAAACATATTAATATCTGTCAATAGAATGGGAGTCTGTTCTGAAATTAAGCTATGGTAATATTATTAGTTGTTTTTATTT